ATTCGTTTGTTATTTTGAAAAAATAGCTATAATTTAGCATATTATAAAATATATTACAATTGACACTCTTGTTTTTACATATTGATAAAAATATTTAAGAATATAAAAAAATACCTAATGAGGTCATACTGTATCGAAATAAACACGATCAAATATAAACAATGCCTGTTCAATCGCGTTGTAAAGATAATATTGCAGTATGGATCGTACCGAAGCCTAATAAGCACATCAATGCCAGTCCAAGAAATCTGAACGGCAGCTTCTTGGGGCTGCAGAATCCTTGTAGCGCAATTTCATCTTCTGATCTGTCCAAAGTTGTATCCGGACTTTCGAATATGCCTCCTTCCATGTTACGTTTGATTCTGCTATTCTTTTAATGTTTACAATTGGCAGGCACAGCTACAGGTGCCTTGGTATGCAGATGTTCACAAAAGTTCACTGTACTGATCATTAGATATTCAATGAATATGCACGAGCTAATCCCTCTTCAAAATAAAGCAACTGCAATTCGATTCCAAGAAGAAAAGTATTGTGCCAAAGATCAACTCGTAAACACTGTCGATTAACTACTCGAGCAAGTTAGGTACATGATACCACCAGATGTGTCATTACTAATCTGTCAATCGTATACGTCATGCGACTGACCTAACAAGAACCTCAAAACAATGGAATACCAAAAGGTAAGCGAGAAAATCTCTATGAAATAGGAGAAATAATCGTGAATCAGAAGAGAATTGTTGGTAACAGCGAACACTATGATTTTCCGATCTGTGGCGCCACCATTGAAAACGCTAGACGATTCGTCGGTAAAAGGGACAGAAACATGATTACAGGTACCTATTTACAGATCCCTTTAGTAAATACTCTTATAATGGCTTTTACGAATTTATTGAGAAACATAACTTACTGAATGTACATTATCGATACTTAATACTAAACGTATATTACGTAAATATTATCTTAAGTTTAGAGATCGAAGATATGGAAAAGCCGCACCTTAATAGAAAGCTTTCGTGTTAAGATGCAACTTCTTCTGTTGCACCCTCGAACTCAAGTTTCACTTGGCACTCCTCCGGTAGTCCTTCGACGTCTACCTCCGATTCTGGTGCGTTTAACATGTTTAACGTTACTTCCGCTGACTTCCCCATTAACCCTTGATTTCCGCTCTGCTGTTTCGACTGCTGCTGAACCGCCGATTGTGCCGACTGTTGTTGGGACAACATTTGTTGTCTAATCGGCACTCCCGCTTCTTCAAAGGCTTTCTTCTTTAACGTTGTTCGAATCTGCGAGCTGAAAAGCAGAATTAGCCGGTTAACGTTGGACCGAGACTGACGCAGGAAAAATTGAGGAACAACCGTGGGCTCGATGCAGCCTTATTAACTTACACCGTTCGTCCCTTGATGTGCTCACTTATTTTGTTTAAATCTTCACTGAAGGTCTTTACCGAGTGACGGAGCATCTCAATTTCCTCGTCAGTCCATTTACTACAGATTAAGCAACACAGAGGATTATATGAAGATGCAGTCAGCGTTTTATT